CTTCTACATCATTCTATCAATGTGGACACTGGGCCATTGGTTCTGCAAATTTGAAGGATTTTAGCTGATGACCAGTGAGACATCAAATCTTCTTACACACTAACTCATGTGCAGCAGTCACCCTGGGCCCCAAATAGCTTGTCTACAGAACAGGGTGTGGGGATCAAATCTCAAAGCTTCCTCAGCCTGCTGTTTATTTCTTCTCACCTTACGTATCATATTCACATTTACAGCACCCCGGCTAACAGTGGACCTTGGAATTTGAGTCCTTTGCTTTTATTTTATTTAAGGTTTGTTTATTTAAAGTCTTTTTTTCATTTTACATACTGCCCACTGCTCCCCCTCCCTCCCCTTTTCCCACTCCCCTCCACCTCCCCCCATCCCACCCCCACCCACTCCTCTGGGGGTAAGGCCTCCCTTGGGTATTCCACACAGGCTGGCATACCAAGTTGGGGCAGGCCCAAGCCCCTCCCCACTGCATCAAGACTGAGTAAGGCATCCCACCATAGGGAATGGGCTCTAAAAAAGCCAGTTCATGTACTCGGGATGAATCCTGATCCAATTGCCAGGGGACTCACTAACAGATCAAGCCACACATCTGTCATCCCCATTCAAGGGGCCTAGTGCAGAGTCCGTAGGCTCCCACTAGCTTGGGTCAGCTGTCTCTGTGGTTTTTCCCATCATGATCTTGTCCCCCCTTGCTCTTATAGTCCCTCCTCCCTCTCTTCAACTGAACACCAGGAGCTTGGTCAAGTGCTTAGCTGTGGGTCTCTGCATCTGCTTCTATCAGTTGCTGGATGTAGGTTCTATGATGACAATTAGGGTAGTCACCAATCTGAATACAGTAGAAGGCTAGTTCAGGCACCCTCTCCACCATTGCTAGGAGTCTTAGCTGAGGACATCCTTGTGGGTTCCTGAGGATTTCCCTAGCACCAGATTTCTCCTTAACCCCCTAATGGCTCATTCCATCAAGATATTTCTTTCACTGTTCTCCCTCTCAGTCCCTCCCAGAACTCAGCCATCTCAAACCCTCGTGTTCCCCTTCCCTCTATGCCCCCTTCCCAGTTTACCCAGGAGATCTTAACCCTTTCCCCTTCCTGGGGTGATCCGTGCATGTCCCTCTCAGGGTCCTCCTCTTTACCTAGATTCTCTGGGGTTGTGGGTTGTAGCCAGTTTATCCTTTGCTTTGCATCTAATATTCACTTATGAGTGAGTACACACAGTGTTTGTTTTTCTGGGTCTGGGTTGATTTTTTTTTGTAGTTCCATCCATTTGCCCATAGCACAGACACTAAGAGCAACAATTAATAAATGGGACCTCCTGAAACTGAGATGCTTCTATAAGGCAAAGCTTCTGATATGGTCAATAAGACAAAATGGTAGCCTACAGAATGGGAAAAGATTTTTACCAACCCCACATCTGACAGAGGGCTGATCTCCAAAATATATAAAGAACTCAAAAAACTAGACATCAAAATATCAAATAATCCAATTAAAAAATGTGGTGCAGATCTAAATAGAGAATTCTCAACAGAAGAATCTCAAATGGCTGAAAGACATTTAAGGAAGTGTTCAACATCCTTAGCCATCAGGGAGATGCAAATCAAAATGATTCTGAGATACCATCTTACACCTGTCAGAATGGCTAAGATCAAAAACACTGATGACAGTCTATGTTGGAGAGGCTATGGAGCAAGGGGAGCACTCCACCACTGCTGGTGGGAGTGCAACCTGGTACAGCCACTCTGGAAATCAATATGGTGGTTTCTCAGAAAATTGGGAATCAACCTACCTCAAGACCCAGCAATACCACTCTTGGGCATATACTCAAAAGATGTCCTTTGCATTTAAAAGTCTCATTTTCTTTATTAGTTCTTTGAGTGTTTTATACAACTTATTTTGATAATATTTATTTCCTCTCCCCCAACTCTTCCCAGATCTACCCACCTTCTATACCCACCCATCTCTGTGTCCTTTTTTAGAAAATCATTTACGATTAAATTATACTGTCTGAATATTCTTGGATGTGTGGTCTTCCACTGGAGATTGGTCATCTTACCAGGGGGTGTACTCTTAGAGGAAACTGTCTCTCCCTCTCCCAGCATCTAACATTGCCAATAGCTTCATAGCTAGGGGTAAGACCATGTGCTCAACTCCCCTCTTCATTCTGGGACTTGATCTGGCTTGGGCTTGCACAGATTATGTGCATGCTATTACAACTGCTGACACCAAATGGGTTAGTCTTTGTTTTGCTGTAATAAACAAGCAAAATAAATAAAGAATAACTTTTCCTAAAAGTGTAAAAAAAAAAGAGTCTCACATTTTCTAAAAGTATGTCAAGAGAGACAATTCTTTTTCCTTCGGCTTACCAGAGACATTATTTGTTACTAAAATTAGTATCTGAACTTACACTATGAAACACTATAACTTGATGTAACTCACAAATTGAAATCAGGATGACAGCCTGAAATTCCTAGTAGGTCAATTAAGTCTTCTAAACAAATGGAGCTGGATGGGATCTTGGTAAATGAGGCAGGTGTGCCAGAGAGTCCACACTGGACTATCTGATGCCATTCACATACACACAAACTGGCACAAAACTGCAAAACATGAAGGAGTATCAAAACTCTCAAGGGCTGGAATACCATCCCTAAAAGTCCCTGGGAAGAGGGAAGTGACCTAGACAGGCAGGATGCTTTTAATCCCTAACCCCCCCCTCTGTGTAGCAGAGACACAAGGGCTCCTGGGCTGGCCCTCATTAGGGAAGTGCAAAGAACTGGGACAGCCCCTTGCTGAAGCACAAAGGCCCTTTGCCTCTTTTGTTGGCTCAGAGGCTTCAAAGGGCTTCAGAGTTTCAAAGGTTCAAACAGTGCATTTCCAACCAGGCTAGGATGGAGCAGTGCCCAGGGTACTGAGTAGGAAAAAAAAAAAGTGTCTCTACCCACTCAGTAACCCCAAGCTGGTGTGATCCCCCTGTGAAGGTTAGAACACAATGTTTTATGATTTAAGCCATCAGAGGAACAGTAGAGAGCTGGGTGATGAAATTCCACTTTATCCTTCACTCTCAAATCACTATTTATTACTTGGCAACCTCTGAAAGAGTATAAACAACTATTCTTAAAGACTTACCGAAACCCACTCTCAAGCATCACACATTCAGGGCAGGCAGCATCCTTTGAAATCTAAAAAAGAGCCAGGCCATCTTAGCTGGTAGTTAAAGGAGGCAGTGATAGACAGATACATAAAAGCCAAGTTAAGTGAAAATAAAAGAGAAATGAACCATCAGGAGGGGGCATGGTAACTCAGAAGCAAAGTCACAGAAGGACTGGGGAGAGTGAGCACCAGTGTTTGTTCCCCTCAGCTGGTAGCCAAGTGACAGGGAAGACGTAGATACTGAGAACCCACTCAGGTTGGCTGCATTATAGCAGAGACAGATAAACGTCATTCCCCCTTTGATGTCAGGCAGATAGCAATCACTTAAAAAGGACAATTTCAAAGAGGCAGCTTGGGGTCAGATGTAATTCACTTACATCCCTGCTCTGTCCCCATTACCCAGCCCTCACTCAATACATCAAGATTCCCAAGTCATTTTATTAATTATGTTTATTAATTATATTCCACAAACATTTGCTGTCTCTTTCACCTATGGCTAAGCCATTTGTAAGACGTTGGAAAGATGGCTGGAACGCACTCCGGTAGGTAGCCATCGACTGGATCATTCAAGTCTTATAGCAGGAGCAACACATGGCCAGCTGTAAAGAGCTTGGCCTTCAGTCCTAGACAGAGCTGGATTTGAGCCCTTTTCGAGACCCCTCATGCCAGTCAGCTCTCTGATGTTATGACAAAATACCTACTAACTTAGCTCTGTTTATGGCAGTCTAGTCTTCTCCACATCTCCAGACTTTTACAGATTCTTCCCATGGAGTAATTCCGGGGTCCTCTGAGCCTTACTATCAGGCCCAGCAATAGTGGTGACTCCATTGCTTGGTACAGTTCTCTGCGTTAGTTAGCTTCCTGTTGCTGTGCTAAAACATTCGAGAGAAAGAACTTGAAAAGGAGAAAATCTTTTCGGGAGGCTTGTGGCTTGAGAGGTTTCGGTCTGTGAATGGCTGACTCGATTGCTTTTGGCCGTGTGTCCTGGCAGAGAACACATTACTCATGATAGAGCAAAGCTGCTGAATTCCTGACAGCTTCGAGAAAGACAGACAGACAGACAGAGTCGGAGACAGAGACAAATAACAGCAAGGGAGACCACAGAGAAGCGGAGACAGAGATGGAGAGACAGAGAGAGACAGAAACATGCCCAACACAATTACAAGTAATAGGAGGTTATTCTGCTCCCCATTCTAGGGATGTTGAGGCCCCCAGGGTATTTCCAGCACCGGGCAAGGGCCTTCATACCTGTTCAGTGTACTGGGTCATATCTGTGCAGTGTGCTGGGTCATACCTGCACAGTATGCTGGGTCATACCTGTGCAGTGTGCTGGGTCATACCTGTGCAGTGTGCTGGGTCATACCTGCACAGTATGCTGGGTCATACCTGTGCAGTGTGCAGGGTCATACCTGTGCAGTGTGCAGGGTCATACCTGTGTATATGCTGGATCATATCTGTGCAGGGTCATACCTGTGTATATCTGCTGGGTCATATCTGTGCAGGGTCATACCTGTGTATATCTGCTGGGTCATATCTGTGCAGTGTGCTGGGTCATACCTGCACAATGTCAAATGTGAGACAGAGACACAGAGAGCTTTTATAACAAAGCCATTCCCACAGTGAGCCCTTGTGACCTAGGTACCTCTAAAATCACATTTTCCAATAATATGACAGGGCAATCAGATTTCAACATAGGCTTTGAAAAGGAGCGTCAAACCATAGCAGACGTCTTATTTAGAAAGCATTCAGGAAGTCCGTAACTCCTGGCTGCAGCAGGAATAACAAACATATGCCTAGTGGTGGGTAATGGTGGAATCTGCATTAACATTTACCTTCTGTGTGCTCTAGGTCGTTTCTCCCATTATTCACCCATAAGAGAACACAGCAAGCATGAAGATGTCGGCTGTTAGCTGGTGAGTACAGATCCTATAAGTACAGATTCCCTAGGATGAAGAAACCTCAGACCCAGAGACACACACAGAAGGTTAAAGTGGTTTCTAGCTAATGGAACATGATAGCAAATAGCAAAACTAAGAATAGCCAGGACTGTTTCCTAACATGGGGAGCTAAATGCCCGATTCTGCACCAAGCAATGAAAATTGGTGCATGCCCAAAAACAACAGAAACATCGCTTTTGCCCATGTCATAGTCCTGTGAAAGCCAGCAGGTCTTTTTCCTACCCACCCCCACCCCTGTAGTCATTTAGAGACCAAAGGCTCAAAGCCTTGCTGCTGCTCTTTCCTATGGGTCCTTAGAATCCCTTTCCCTTAGGTAAGTGGGGGCCGAGAGCAACCGTCCTGCATGGGTCTTCATACACCAAGACTAGATGGGGTTTGTTCCACGTTAACACTCTCCTCCAACCTCTCATGTTTCTTTCACCTGACCTTGGTTATATGGCCACACCTACCCGCAGAGGAAGCTGACAGTGATGGATGTAGCTGTCTCAGCCCTGAAGACTCGTGGCAGCTCAGGCCCACACCATCGAGAGCTCAGCCCTAAGCTCTGTTTTGCTCGAGACGCCTTCCTCTGACTTCCCCTTTCCATTTCCATACATGCTCCCATTTTGGACAGAGACGTGTCAGTGGCCTGTAACATTCAGGCCACGCTGAGTACACAGCCGTAAGGCGCAGAAACCACACTCAGAAGAAGCCCCTGCCTCAATGCGTGTCGAGATCCCAGCATTGTTTTTACTAAATCAACTCCGAGAAACGGCCCCTTTATCAAACCGTAGGTAGGCAGCACAGTCTAAAGCCGTCAATGGTGTGTTTTCCTGTCCAAGCAATCCCCCGTCTCTGTTTAAGAGCCTTCACGCTGTGGACTGCTATGCCTGCTTCCAGGCCCATCGCCGTCTTTGTTCCCAGCATTTGCAGAGTCTTAGAGAAGGGAGATTGCTTCTTCATAACTATAATTTTGCTGCTGTTATTAATCATAATGTAAATATCTGGTGCTCAGGACATATGATATGTAATCCCACAGGCTGAGAACTGCTGCTCTAGAGAGACACGCCTGGACATGTTATTTTGCTCCTTTGTGGGGAAACCCATGACATCCTGCCCCTCAGTCCACATTGATGTACATGAGGAGTGATGGGCATCCAAGCATCTAGGAGACAAAGTAAGCTGTCATCCTGATGTATATGGAAGTTCTGTGAAGTGTAACGAGTATCTGAGAACACAGGAGAAAAGGTAAGGTGATCTCCCAAGTTCCCATATGGTCCGGTCCGCTAGGGGCACCCAGAGAGGAAATCTGGAGTTTCTAGGAGCCTCGGAGTTGTGAACACCTCTGAAGTCAATTCAAGATCAGGAAGTGTGATGCCGTTAATTTTTCTCTATTAAGAAACAGAAGACTCGGGAGCAACTCCACATCTTATCTACAGTGGCAGTTAATGAACAGCCACAGGAAAGTGCTTTCTTAATGAGAGACAAGGCCTACCTTCTACCAATGCTTGAAGAAGGTCCAGATGCTGAGTGGCCAAACATGATAAGCATCTGCTTACTATGAACAGTCTAGCAAATAGAGGGCAGGTAAACTGGGGAGTGCGCGCACTGATGCTCTGTTATACCCCATTCACAGTATGTATAAGGAGAGCCCTAGAGTTTTATCAGTTAATTCACAACCCGATAGGGTGTTGCTGTCCTGACTGCTTCATTATGCTACAACCAACTGTGACTAGTTCATGAAAATGTACCTGTAAGTGTTAGCTTCCCCTACTAAATGTCTGCACTAAACCACAATTTAATACTGGATTTTCATTGTCTATATGATAAATGTCCATAGAAAAGCACCCTTTGCAGACTGTTATTGAAGATACTGCCCATTTTTTGGTTTCAGAACATATATTCTTATGATTAACATAAACTCCGGGAGGAAACTTAATCTTTTTGAAAGATGAGGGTTTCCCCTATTATTAGGATAAGAGTTCTATCTAATTTTATTTATTTCCTTCTCCTTTCTTTGGGTTGCTACCAGGAACGTGGGCTTAACTACATCCTTAATCACTGTCACCGACTCACCTTGCTTTATCTCCATATTTCTTTATCTTGTTTCTACTAACATCCCCAACAAAGAAGAGCTCCTCTGTGGAGAGATTCGCCTCATCGATACTGGGGGACAGCCAAGGTCTCAGGGTCTCAGGGGTGGTGCTTGTGTTTCAGAAGGTCATCTAAACCCAAGTGGAGAAGCATGATCCTCTCAGTGAAGTTCTTGGATACCTGAGGCCTGTCTCTTTTCTGCATGTGATGTTTGAACTGGTTTTCCTCTTGATTTTTAATCTCCATATGGGAATAAACTAATTTTTATTTCAAGATACTAAGATTTCCTTTGGAAGAAGAAAAATTATAAATTATAAATGGCCATGAATTATAAATATTTGGCCTCAAGATTTCAGCAACCACATTCTCTCCCTAGGACAAGCATTAGTGCCATCACCAAACCCGAGTGGCTATGGAGGAGTGCCAACCTGCAGTAAGATGCTGTCAATGTCATAAACAAATCATTTGTACTTCAGATGGATGGTACTTGGCATCAGTGACCTGAGCAAGCACAGAGAAGAAGCAAAGAAGTTGTAATTATTTTTAACTTTCTCCTCTGTAAAGGAAGCAGACACTGGGTTTAGTTTCCTTCAAATGGAGCAAACACAGACATCTTCTGAGACACGTAGAGGAAGAATGTGGACCACAGCTGAACTGCACTCCGGCCCATGCAGTCTGCAGATGCTTCTGAGCACTGTGTTGACTCCTGCAACTAGACGGAATGGTTACGGCATCCCCATGTTTAGAAAACCTCTTTCTCTGGTTGATCTCTAATTCCTTGACACTGAGCCAGGGTAGTTCAAGACTGCAGCGGTGTGGGGACGAGAAAGCTGCTGCTTGAGAGGAAGAGACAAGCACTGTGGATGAGGAGCCGGAGAAGAAAATCGTTTCCACGGCAAGTGTCCGAGAGAAGCACAGAGGGTAGGTGTTTTGTGTTAGACTGTAGCAGGAATCTTAAAAGTTCTTATTAATAAAACAAACCTGGAGCCAAGTGTTGGGGTGAACACTGGAAGATCAGAGAGACAGAACAAGCCACAGCTAACCTCACCTGGCCAACTTCTCAGCTGATCCTGTTTCCTCAGACTGGAAGCTTCTGTGTCCTCATCCCAATGGCTCTCAGCTGAACTGCTGTTTGAAAGCCTGAAGCTTAACCAGCTAAAAGCTTAACCAGCCAAATGCTTCTAGTTTCTGGTCCTCACGCCTTATATACCTTTCTGCTTTCTACCACCACTCCCTGGGATTAAAGGCTCGCTTTCTGGGATTAAAGGCGTGAGTCACCATGCCTGGCTGTATCCTTGAACAGATAGATTTCTGCCTCTGGAATGCTGGGATTAAAGGCGTGTGCTACCACTGCCTATCCTAAGTATCTCGTGGCTTTTCTGTTCTCTGACCCCAGATAAGTTTATTAGGGTACACAATATTTTGGGGAACACAATACCACCACATTAGACAACGTGGAGAATCATGGAAAACGGAAGCTTGGGCCGTGTTTTCAAATGTGTGCATGTGCAGGCTGCGGAAAAGTACCACAAGTCAGAAGTTCAGCATTGTTTCTAGACAGGTCTATGAGAATATTCAGTGTGGATTAAAGACTGGCAAGTTGATGTGAAGTAATGAAGCCAAGAAGCTGTTAAAAAAAGTCAAGCAAGAGACAAGGTGAGGTATAAAGTCTTGAACTAGGGTCAAGATAGTTGCTTGAGTTCAAGTGGAAGAGAGGACTGGGATTTACTGAGCACCGACACTATGCTCAACCTTTACCTGTTTACCATTCATGACCAGCCTGACACTAGGCAGGATTATTTCAGGTCCATAGATAAGCAGAGAGACCTTACTTTAAAAAATTCCTTTAGCTATGACAGACAGCCAGGATCTTAATTCAACACCTTCCAGCTCCAAACCACGATCTTTCCATCTGGATTTCAGCTCTTCTGAGGATCAAATGAGGAAAAATGGGATTTGTTTTCAAAGCTGATACCTTTTCACAAAGGAAAAGAGAACTCCTAGAGACTTTAGGCTTTTTACTTTCAACTTAAGAACTGAAATGATATCAGATGAAGATTAAAAAAAAAAGACATGAAAAATATGTGGAAGGAATTACAGAAAACTCAACTTTCGTTGAGAGCTTTTTTCCTAGAAGCTTCTTATAAGCACTTGGCTTTCATTATCACTTTGAACGTCTCACCTAGTCAATGTGGTTGACTGCCATCCTCATTCAGCAGAGGCTTATTGGAAAAATGAGGACACTCCCTGAACTGGACCCTGAGTGGGGGTCTCTGCACACAGCACCGGGGGGTCTCTGCACACAGCACCGTGGCAGGGAGGACTGTCCACACAGCGGGGTATCAATGTGGCAAATCCAGATGCACACATAGTCCTTCTGTCGAACTACCCACTTGTACCCCCATTCCACCCCACACACACACACACCCATCCCCTTCTCCATCCATTCCCATTGTCAAGGATAAGATCAGGAAGTGACTCTAAGGAACAGGATTGGGAGGGAGGAAAAGTCAGGGAGGCAAGCAGAGAAAGCCAGTACAAGCTGTGTAAGAGACTTGATCTCTGAGTAGACAAAGACCTTCAGTCCTCCCAGGTCTCTGAGGAGGAAAGGGGACAGGGTAAGGTGTTATTTAATAACTGGCCTCTTTCCCTCGTGGTCGAAGGTTTCTGGCACCTGACTAACTCCTCAGCTGCAGGACCACACATGCATCAGAATGTCAAACAGATTCCTATGTGTTTCATACGGTGATGACAGCGAAAAGCAAGAGACACATGCAGGGAGGGAAAAGGTCAGGGGAGTTGCCACACTCATGGCGGGGGTGAGGGGGGAGGAGAGCACAAGCCTGAGGTGATGTAAAGAGCACAAGGTGGTACCAGCAGCAGCTGCCGACATAGAGTTTGAACTGAGTGGTCTGACTGCTCCCGAGAGGGATGTTGGGAAAGGTCACGCAGTCAGACTGCCCCAGAGAAGGCTGTGGGAATAGCCCATCCAGCCTGATGGCTCCAGAGAAGGCTGTGGGAGCAGCTCACCCAGCCTTTCTAAGTGATGATGGCAATGCTAGTCTGGGACTACATTTTGAGAATTGTTCACCCTGCCAGGGGTTTCAGTCTGCAAAAGAAAGAGTCATCATTATGAAGCAAACTGTGTAAGAGACAATAAGCCCAGTTTGGCTCTACGTGGAAAAAGAAATGTGATGGGCAGTCATGCTTCTCAGCAAACAGTTTTGCAACTGGGAGACTCGAAGAAATCTAAGAGATTTGGAACATGATGAAGCTTAACTTCAGAGCAAGGGAGCATGAGGGTGAAATCACAAGAGCCGTTACAGCTCAGTCTTTGTGGCTAGAGTATCCTGGATAAGCTCTCATTTTTGTTTCTTTGTTTTTGTTTTTGCTTGTTTGGAGATTTGATTTTCCTACATTTGATGAATCCTTGGTAAAAACAAGACTGAAAAAAGTACCTTCCTACTTCCAGAGAGATTACGGTCTAATGAGGATGAGAAATAAGAAAACAATAAAATGTAAAACCATTTGGTAAACTTCTAGAGAAAATAAAACTGTAATAACGTAGAACAGGATGCAAAGCTTTGCGTCAGAAAACTGACAAAGATTTTCATAAAGTGGTATAATTAAACTGACATGAAGGATAGAGGGGTCTGGCAAACAAGGAGAGAAGAAAGAACATTCTAGGCAGAAGGAGCTCCATGTAAGAAATTACAAAGGGACTGGAAAATTTGGAGGGCATTACACCCAATCTCCTTGGAGGCCACCGCCCACAAACCTGCTCTAGGCATCGACTGAACTGGTCTGTTAAGGTTTTCATGTGTCACCTGAAATGTTGAACTTTGTCTCATAAACAACAGAGTGATGGGGAGAGTTAGGACAAACTTTGGCACAAGTAGGTTTATTTTGAAAATTTGAGGTCTAGGAAAACTTGTAGATGAAATAAAATAAAGCTGGTTGAAAAAGAAAGCATTAAAGTTTTGGGAAGGAAAGCTGAAAGAGAGCAACACAGCCAGGAGACTCTTCTGCTAACGAGGGCAGACTAAGACTCAAAGAGCCGAACAGAGCCGAAAGTGGTGGTAATGCCGGATATGCCAGAGGCTGAAGCGGGAGAGCTACACGTTCTAGGATAACCTGAGCAACTTAGTGAAGACTTTATCTCAGAGTTAAAATAAAGGGCTGAGAATGAGCTTAGTGGTGGAGCACTTGCCTAACAGAAGGTCCTGTGTCAAGTGCTGAGAAAAAAGTCAGCATCAGAAACCAACATTCCAGGGGTCTATGGATATAGTACATGGGACAGAGGAGTTGATTTACCTGAAAGTCCTTCCCTTGAATGTGTGAGCCCCTTGTCTGGCTGCTAATGCTCTCTGACCTTCCCATACTGCTTAGAGTTTGTTTTGTTATTTAGCATCATTCTACATATTGCTATCTCAGGGAGTCTAAGGTAAGGCTTCTCCTAGTGTTCTTCATACTGGTATAGATAGAACAACAAATGTCTCAAGTTCACAGAAGTTTGTAGATTCTTCTAAATATGCACTGGGGCCCTCTAAGCCTTTCCTGCCAACTTCCTAGCCACAGAATCTCTCTTTTACAGTCTGTCTTAGAATTTGTGTTCCATTGAGCACACCCTGGAAATGCCAAGTTAGGGGCGTCCTCTTCGACAGTAGGTAACATAGCAGAAATGAAAAGGTAGGAAAGCTTCTTTCTACAAGGAGGCCATGTGGAAGAGTGGACGCACACGGCTTCAGGGGTGGCCAGACCTGAAACAGAATGCTCTTTCTGCATTAAACCTGCCCCTGATTTATGGAAAATAGGTCAGCATTGGGTTTAGCGTGCTCGTCTGTGAATATGAAACAATGATGCTGACTTTGAAAGCAGGTAGAGGAATCACTGGGAAAAGCATGGTCCGTTTTAATGCAGGTCCTGCTCCCCCTCCTGTTCTGACACGTGGCCTGTGTTGTGCCCTGGTGCATTGACTCTACACCTGTTGCTTCACAATCTTCACATTGTGTTACTTCTGCCCTTACCCATCATTGGTGTTGGCTGCTGTGGTCTGACTTTGGCCTTCCATACAGAAAGTTTATTGGAAGAAGGCCAAATGGTCTATGGTGTGGATCTAGACACCATATGATGTGCTTTCCAGAGTCAGGTGTTATTGCAGAAGCTCAAACCACAGCTGGAATCTGGGGGGTGTGAACCACAAGTTGTTTCTGTTCAATTCCATGGCTCCAGATCAGTTTCCATTTTGCTCAGTAGAGTGACACGTAAGCTGAATCAGAAGGTTCTCAGAAAAAGACAACTGCCGTGACCTCTTCAGGCTGCAGTTGAAAATGATTAACAAGCTATCAGCATGGGTCCTCTGGCAGGAAGGTAGATGTCTTTGTCAGCCTAACTGAAACACCAAACTTGGCCTAGATGGATTCTGTTCTCGGTTATAGGTTATAACAATCTAAGCCGGGGCTGTAGAGATGGCTCAGCAGTTAAGAGCACTTGCTGCTCTTGTAGCGGACCGTGGTTCAATTCCCAATACTCATGTGGAGACTCACAACCATCTGTAATTCCGGCTCTAGGGGATCCTTTACCCTCTTCTGATATCTGAAGGGTCCTGCGCATACACATTACATATACATACACTTAGGCACACACACATACACATAAAATATTTTTAAATTAATCTAAGCCAGTGTGCTTTTACTGAAGCATAATATAATATCAGTAGCTGATATCATCTTCTACTCAAATAGCAACAGCTCTTTTTTCTGTTGTTGTTTTTTTTTTCCCAGACAGGGTCTTATTTTGTAACCCAGGCTGACCTAGAACTTGTGATAATACCCCTGGGTGCTGAGATTACAGGCATAAGCCACCACGCTGGCCTTCAAATGTCACTATCTAATATCAGCTTTTACTCAAATTTCTGATAACCCAAAGTAATGTGGATTCCTTAGAGTGATAACATTATCATTGGTTATCAAAATGAACAAATTTTAAGCATGTGCTTTTTCATTTTTCCGCTTAAAAGCTTCCATGATGACCTATTGTTTTCTGGTTTAACAACATTCTGCTTACTGTGCTGTGGAAGACTCCCCGTGGGCACCACGCCGTGAAGGAGAACTAAACCTTGTTTTAGAACAGTGCTTTTTAAACTTCAATACACACATGGGGGACCTGGCACCCTTGGTTCTTACTCAGTTGTTCAGAACAAGGTCATGGCAAGATTTCCAGCGCTGAGGAAGTAAGGAAGCGCTATGAGCATTAGACCCTAGTGGGGTAGAAACAAGTCAGTGAAGGGCTTCAGTGGGAAACAGAGCATGTGACGTGGAGCCCGAGAGAGATCTCCATAGCCGTTTCTGTTCAAATGCAGTACTCAAATAAATCCAGGGGCCTCGAATATTCCACTTGTTCTTGTGATTTTCATTCTGCATCTGCCCTGCTGCTTTACAACAAGCATCCTGGGTTCCTGGGACTAAGAGTCTAATCATGTTCTCCACAGTACTAGGACTGTGCTCTGGAAGGGCCGGTATGTGCTTTGATTTTCCCACACTTTATGAAAGAAGGTCTTCATTTCTGTATCGAAATCATAGTGATAGTAAGAGCTTGGCCATGAGTTACAAAGTTCAGTTTTAAAAAAGTCCCATGGACATTACACTTGGTGTACGATTCCAGAATCCTAGTGCATTCTGAAGATGGCTTACTGAAGCTAACACTGAAGGTGAGTAGGTGATCAGGTTCCTTCGTAAGTTACCCTGTGTGAATCATAGTGCCTCAGATCAAAAGTGCTGAGTCTGCTCAATTGAACTGACGTCACATGACATAACACTAAAACCTTCCTCAGGTCATTAGATTTAGCCAGACCTTTTTATAAGTGTACACCATAGCTATGTTTGTTATTTATTATTGAAATTTGGCTACTTCTCTTCTCTTTGTAGTTTTGAGAGTCTGAGGCTCAGATTACAGAAGACTCGTGTCCATGACTGGAGGTGATTTTGAGCATTAAGGATGAACGTGAAGTGTTCTTATTTGGTGTTTAGAGAACAAACTGTTCTGAAACGTTGGAGTTCCTGGCACCATTGTTCCTTCTGGGTTTTGCTCAGCTCTTTAATTGAGTCATTTTCATTTTAATCAAGTCATGGCTTGAAGCTATGCTACCACCCAACAGGAGCTAGAATTGATCTCACGTTGGTTTCTACATAGCTGATCTCCGTTCTAAAATACAGTCCCTGGTTTGTTTTCTTCCTGGATACTGTGAAGGTAAGACATTAACAAGTTTATTGTTAAATCAAACGGGTTAAATTGTTACTTGCTTACCTCCTTCAGTGTGAGTCAAAAGTTAATAAAATGGGACTGTTTTCTTGCCGAATGCTTTGGTTGTAATATTTAACTTCTGGGGTCAGGTCCATGAGGAAATTTATCCCATTATGTGCCATTAAATCTACATGGCTGCTTTGGGTGTTGGCCTCCACTATCAGGATTCTAAATGAAGCTGTGTGTAAAAGTCTAGATCTTCAGCTACTTATGACATCCTTGATTAGTGAGCATCTAGGGTGTTCCTGGGAGAATCTGTCCTTTAAAACAAAGCCCCACACCCTAGTATTTCTAACATCTAGCTCACAGAGTGAAACTTTTGTCAGGACAGTTTTGGAATTACAACCTCAAACAATGAAATGGTCCTAGCTGACTGAAAAATGGAAGGACCTATGTCTTCAGAACTATAAAATTCTGAAGTGTGTTCTGGGGAACATCTGCACCCCAGTCTCCTGTGAAGCTTGTTTACAATCCTGATTCCTGGACCATATGCTTAGACTTACTGACTCTAAAATCCAAGACCTAGATTCTCTGCTTTTATCACAGTGCCCAAGGGGTTTCCTTGCACAGTGACATTTCAGAATTCCTATTTAGACAAATGAGAAACCAACCACTAAGGTGGATAATCTGCCTAGTTCTATGACCATATTCAATCCTGATCTGTAGAGAGTATGATTCTACAAAATGATTCTAAGAACTCATCCAGCAGCACTGATGACCTGGCTGAGGCAGGAGGCTCAGCCAGAAGCAGCCAGTGCTCAGGATACTGGAATTTCACTGATGTTTCAGGCACTTTCTCCATGTATCCAAATGGCTGGTTAAGATAGCCAGCTGCACAAGGAATCTCAGCCACCAAATCATCACAGTCTCAATCCATAGTTATATCTTTTTACTTCTGCTGCTGAACACGTGTTCTAACGTTGAATCACCCCTTTGGTTACATAATTTAAATGCTTGGGTTCCGTAGCTGGGAAGTTGACCATAAGGCAACAATTAGATTGATCTGGCATATACAAGGGAACTGAAGTATACTGAAGTGGCTAATGACCAAAGATGGAGAAGAAGAAAATAGATAGAGTCTGGTCTGACAGTGTAGGGAAGGAAGTCAAGACAGTTGTTGGAAAACGCAGGTCTTCTGGCTCAGAAACAGGTAGAAATGGAGTGTGAGTGCCAAAGGAAAGAAACTACTCTTAGCTTTTATGAGCAGTTCTCCTTACTGACATCTGAAACATTCACAGACTCATGCATATTTGTAAAACACATTCCTTTTTGATGAAGATGCATATCTGGTGAGGAGGTGTTGGAGGTGTGAAAGACAGAGGAAAGGTGGAGAATGGGAATCTACACACGTGAGAGAGAAAATGAACTGGAGACAGGAGTTGCATGAATGTGCACCACCACAGCCTCAGTTCTCAGTAGAGTGAGCGCACAGCACAGCATGGCATGCTCACACTTACCCCTTTCTAGTTCCTCAGAAGTGAATGCTGATGACTTCCCTGTCTGGGTCAGCAATTCCCCTTGCTCATCCCGGGATAACTGATACCCGGGCAGATCAGGTGGCTCCAGTTCACTGGTTAGGCACTGCACCTTTTTCTAGATTTTGCAGAGGTTAATCTTTGGCGGGGAGGGAAAGGCTTTAAATTCACATTTTAGTAACAAATACCTATTCTGTTTGCATGGTGAATTTTCTGCTGTATTACTAGATGATGACTGTTCATTGTTTTTCTTTTATTGGTGACAGTCAGATTTTTTAGCTTACCAGTCACTTACTTTACTTCCAGATAATTGCTATCATTGTTAACTTTCTGGCAAAAGCTGCAAAATAACAAATATTTGTTATAACAACATGCTTGACAGTAGAAATATTATACCCCTTTCACCTGCAGATGGGAGAAAACAGTGAAGTGAGTTCGCTCAGCTAGGCTTGATAGCACAGAACCAACTCCTTTTAAAGCCCAGGCACGTGAACCAGTACTCGGTGTCATGGTGAGACAGCCTTACCAGGCAGCTGTCTTGGCCAGGCAGCTCCTTCTCAATCAAAACATTCAAGCCCTGGACACATTTTAAAACTGCCAAGAGGACACACAAGGATGTCTGTATTTCTCAAATAGCCTTTATTTAGCCAGGAGACTCTGATATCTGTATTTGTTGTGTTGATTTTATTAGTTGGCCAAGAGTCACTTTCCAGCACCTCCTGCATGTCTTCATTGCTCTATATGATGGTCAACATAGGCCATGCTCTTCCTTTGTTGTAAATATTCTACCCCCCAAGCAGCATTAATATAGCAACTATTTGTCTCCTGCTTATATAGAGTCGGTGCTATCCAGTCTATTGTGTGGTCTCTAAGATTGTCTCATATGGAAAGAGTTCTCAAGAGGAGTTTGAAGGATATATTTGGCTAATTCTAACTTTTATCCATAGTTTGCCAACCAGAATCCAGTACACAGCCTTAACACCTAAATGTCTGGGAAGCAGGAGGATGTGACTGGAGATCCATAGCCATCTCTAAACACTGTCTAGCAATGAGAAAGGACGCAAAGATTGAGAGTAACTCTTGGCCCTGTGGAGATTTGAACCTCTTAGGGTAGTAGAAAGGAAGGCAACTGGCAATCACCAAATACCTCTCAAATTCATTTTTATAAAGGGAGATTTTTGTGATTCACCCAGCAATTATTGAACAGTCACTGTTTTCCTAAGGCCTGACCCATGCGTTGTGTGTCAAAACCATATAATTCTCTCGTTTCAAGGAAGGACAAAGACAAGAAGAAGTACATAGCCACCTGGACACAGCAATGAACACTTTAGAAATATTAGCTTCCTAGATTTGCTGTGACGAAGTTCCCTAGCCTGGGTGGCTTCAAGCAGCAGTTATTCCATCACAGTTCTGGAGGTTAGAAGTCTGAAAACACTGCCAGCGAGATCACATTCCCTCTGGGCAGACTCTTGCTTTGCCTTGTGCTCAATTCTAGGGTAGCCATTAGTCCTTGGCTGGAGGATATAAACTCCCACATCTGCTTATATCTTCAACTCTGTGTGTCTCACGTGGCATTTTTCTCTTATAAAGATAAGTCATACTGGATTAAGGCCTACTTTTGTGACATCACCTTAGCCTCATTATACATGCAAAGAACCTCTTTCCAAAGAAGGTCACATTGGCAGGTATCATGGATTAGGACTTCAAAATCTGTTAGCAGAGTGTAACTGTACCCATAAAAGAACTGATTTCAGGATGTTAGGAAAATTCACAGGAACAGTATTCAGGCAAGATAAATCTAGGGAGATAGTGTCTAAGCTAAGTCTTCCTATACCAGCAGTGAACAAGTGAAGCAAAAACTCGGAAATAGACATTGCATTCAGTCACCAGCAAGCACAAGGGCCCAGTGTGCATCGACGTTCTAGGCAGGTATAATGGCTCGATTGTGTGTCAGCTTGGCTGGACTACAGGTTACCCAGAGAGCAGATCAAACAATATCTCTGAGTATGTCTATGAGGATGATTTCAGAAGGGACTAAACTGTAATAGTGCACAGTGAGATGAAGACCTACCTAGAGCATGAATGTAGGAATGTCTAATCCCTTACATTTCCAAATAGAACAGTTTTTGTTTGTCCTCTGCTGGAGACTTCCATCTGTCCCTGTACTCAGACTCTGGAGCTTCTACTTGTTGGCTTTTTAGGTCTTACACAGCTCAATTGACATCCTCCACTCCTACCAGTTCTCAGGACTTTGCCCAAGTTCTCAGGCCTTTGATATTCTACAGAATCCGTGACTTCTGTGGTTCTCAGGCCCCAGAACTGGACCTCGTTGTACTACTAACTTTCCTTATCCTCAGGCTAGAATATGGCATGTTGTAGAATTTCTTTGCCTCGGCAACTTTGAGAGCTGATTCCCACAATAAAACATTAAAAACTCTAGCAACCCTACCAGGCCAGAAGTTTCTGAGAGGATATGGGGTACTGCTGTAACAGATCTGACCATATTTTGTGGGGGAGGGCTGTGAAAGGACTTTGGAACTTTGGGCTAGAAAATCATTGAGTGTTGAGAGCTCAGTGGGATGTTCTTTGTAGGAGCTTGGAAGATAAGAATGTTAGAGCAGTGCGGATGATGGAGGCCTGGTTTGTGAAGTTTCAGAGGGAAGCAAAGACTCTACTGGGTCTTTTGTGTGAAGGATCTGTGGTGTCTGGTCAGCTGGAGCTGAAAAATCAGCTGTAATCAACAAGAGACCAGAACCACTAAAGTAAAGCCTTTGTTTTGCTGGATAATGGATGCTGGTCAGCTGGGGCTGAAGAATCAGCTGTGATGAAGAAGAGACCAGCATCACTGAGGTGAAGCCTTCTGGGAAGTGTTTCCTGAGAGTTAGCACATGCATGTTGTGTTCCAAAGTTGGCCAAGGTTATACCTTGTGCTGGCAACCAAACTTGGTAATATAAGAGTTACCCAGGTGCTGCTGGTTTTGAAGGTGTGAAGGGATCATAAAGAGCAGCTGAGGCTTGACACTGTGTGGCAGGGCTGGATTCCTTGAAGAGAGCCCAGGAGAGGCTATTGGTGAAAGTACAGCCCAGTTACAGCAAGAATCCCTAGTAGTTTAGAGATGCCAGTACCAGAGGATGACCACCAGAAACAACAGCCGTGGTGGACCAGCCTGAGCCTAGAGGATAATCTGTGTGTGCTGCAGAGGGTGGAGCCAGAGAAGAGATCCAAGCCCTTTGGAGGAGCCCAAAAGACAGTAAGTGAATCCCAGATAATCGGACATTGAGTTATTTACACTTTGGGAGTTTGGTTTTGCTTTGTTCAGATAGTTACTGTGCCCTGGTTCTCATCTTTTGAAATAAGAAAGTATTTAATTTAATTTTTTGATCTATGGGAGCCCACAGTTGAGAGACTGAATTTTTTTTAAAGAGATTTTAGGTTCTAAAAGAGATTTTGGATTTTTAAAGAGACTGAATTTTAAAGTGTTTGAATGTGTAAAGACTGTGGGAGTTGTAAAGTTTGTAAATGTTTTGTATTGTGATGTTGATATTGATGTTAATGTGTGATCTTGGAATGAAGAAGAAAGGCAGGGTTATGACTTAACAATGATATGTTTGTGTGTCACATTGACAAAGGGTCAATTGTTCTGGCTAGTTTTATGTCAACTTGACACAAGCTAGAGTCATTTGAAAGGAGGGAAATTCAGTTGAGAAAAATACCTCTATAATATCAAACTGTAGGGCATTTTCTTAATTAGTGATTGATGGGGGAGGACCCAGTTTATTATGGGTGGTGTCATCTCTGGGCTGGTGGTCCTAGATTCTATAAGAAAGCAGGCTGAGTAAGCCATGAGGAGCAAGCCAGTAAGTAGCACCCCTTCATGGCCTCTGCATCAACTTCTGTCTCCAGGTTTCTGCCCTGCTTGAGTTCCTGTTCTGACTTCCTTCAGTGATGAACAGTGATGTGGAAGTGTGAGCCAAATAAACCCTTTCCTCCCTGAGTTGCTCTGGTCATGGTCACAGCACTAGGAGCCCTAACTAGGACAGCTGTTAATGGACTGTATGACCATGGTCACTCACTCATCTTCACCAGGCCTTGGTTTCTTTAGTCAAAGAGAATGCCAAGATAGGCTGTCTTTGAGATTTCAGCCTTATTGTCCTAAAATAGTCTTTTCTTACAGTGTGATAACTGTTATTCCAGGAATACAGACTCACCAAAAGGATCTGAGTTGTGACTATGCTTATACATCTTTGAAATGACTCGGTGATCTTTTAATTCAATTAGCTGGACATTCAGAGGTTTTTCAGAGATGATGTGAGTGGAAGTGCAACTAAGCTTAGGTGCCCATTCTTTATTCATCTTTAACTAATTCTTTGGTCCCTATTGGAGGTAGGTACCTGGTTCAGTTATCTCACAAGACCTAAATGTGTTTAATCAGGGACTTTAGAGGATCTTCGTCTTTTAAAAAAGTTTTTATTGTTGTTTTGATACAGAGTTTCTCTACATAGCACATACTAGCCACAAGCTTATAATCCTCTTGCCTCAACAGCCATGTGCTGGTATTATATGTGTGTGCAACCACGCTCTGGTAGGTTCCTCAACTTTAATGTACTTAAGATCATTTGAATATGCAGGGGGAAATGCAGATTCCAGGATTTTCACCGCAGGGGGATCTGATTCTGAAGGCCCATAGTGCCACCCAGGTTTCTGCACTTCACAAAATTAAAGAAAGATCTGCCAGAGGGATCCATTTACCAGCGTGTAAGAAATATTACCTTAGTGAGAAAAGACATTGTTGAAAAACACTGTCAATACCGTAAATGACTCATGGTTTCTAAAGCATGAGTTTAATTGCAAGGGTTGTGTGTGCTAATACTGAAATGACAGATAGAACTACTACGTACCTACTCTGAAGCAAGCGGCATCACTCTGGGGGCAAGTTGGGAATGGGCAGAGCTTGCTGGCTACCCACACTGCACCGTCCTGGCTGCAGGGTGCTGCTCTGGTAGGAGTTGTCACTTGTCAGCAGCTTTCTGCTCTCCACAGACTGTGAGGGCCAGCTCTTCCTCAAGTGTCCAGTCCTCCTCCAGGCTAGGAATCGGGATCCCCAGTGTCCTATGAGAAGATTCACTTTTTGCTTGAAATACATATTAAGCAGGCTCCTGTTTCGAGAGAGTCAACCGTTCACAAGCAATTTGCCATTCACAGTGAGCACTTTTTGATTGAATCCACTTAGACCTCAATTGACCCAGCTACCTGACAGCATTCAAGCACATAAGCTCACCACCTTGGAGACCTAACTTGACTGTCTGCTCTTCCCTACACCACCCCACCCCCCACCTCCCCAGACCAGAAAGTATTCATCCTGTATTCAGAATACTCTCAATAGGATTAGAGGGTGTGGGGTAGGCAGTTGGCTAAAATGCAATTTCCTGCTGTTTGCTTTCAGATATCTTGATGTGGACTTGTATTAAGAAGCTGGGAAATTAAATGAACACCCCAAAGGATGGTGATGCTAATGACCACTGGGTGAAACGCGACCTACCCCTCTAGCCCTTCAGGTAGACATGTTCTTGGCCAGACCATGGACATTCATGTCTGTCCTTCTCGGTCTGGGTTACCTCACTCAGGATGATATTTTCTAGTTCCATCCATTTGCCTGCAAATTTCATATCATTGTTTTTCTCTGCTGAGTAGTACTCCATTGTGTATATGTGCCACATTTTCTTTATCCATTCTTCAGTTGAGGGGCATCTAGGTTGTTTCCAGGTTCTTGTTATTATGAATAATGCTGATATGAACATAGTTGAACATGTGTCCTTGTGGTAAGATTGAGCATTCCTTGGGTATATGCCCAAGAGTGGTATAACTGGGTCTTGAGGAAGACTTATTCCCAATTTTCTGAGAAACCACCATACTGATTTCCAGAGTGGCTGCACTAGTTTGCATTCCCACCAACAGTGGAGGAGAGTTCCCTTTGCTTTACATCCTCTCCAACATAAGCTGTCTTCAGTGTGACATTCATGTATGGAAACCTTTATTCCATTTACTTTCTCGAAAGGTCCATCCCATCCCAATCCAAGCAGAAGAACTGGGATTTTAATTTACCCCTCTCTCATCTGGCATACTCTGAACTCTGTTCCCCACATTGCTTTGCTACTACTCTGTGTTCCTGTTGTGTTTTCTAAGTCACTCATCATAGTGACATATGTATTGTTATTTACATGACTGTTTCTAATGTGGGCTCCTGGAAGGAAGGACCTGCTATCTTTGTTCCCTCAGTGCCCAGCTCGGTGTCTGGCATGGTAGGTACACACGCATTGTATAAAAATGCATTGATTCTATGAAACCAGAAAAGATCCAGCCACAGGGAGGTGGCACATGAGCACAAGTCATGCTTGTTTTCTTTGGGTGTTCTAAAATATAAGTTACATGGTCAGCACTCTCCCAACAGTGTAAGTGTACATTAGAGATGAAATCTTAAGATCAAGAGGCCCTGAATAAGGGTTCTTGTGTAAATAATTGTCTCTACTTAGTAACATTTGCCAAAATTTTATTACAGCGGCAGGGGCCGGGACCCGACTCCACATTGAGCAGTTCTTCATCTCAGTTTTTGATTTGTTTTGTTTGTTTGTTTTTTTGTCCGTCTTGAGCTTTCTGGGAAGCAGCAGCACCATGGGCACAGGCATGCTGTCATACACCAGGCATTTAGGCATCTATTAAGGGGAGATGAAAAGAATATTAGATTCGGCCAGGCATAAGACAGGCAGCAGAGTATGGGATTCGGATGGGGGTGGACCCCTTCTTGCTAGTGGGGGTAACTTGTGCCTGGTAGAGGACATAGTGTGGTGGATTGTACCTCAGATTCAATTACCAGGGGCCCTGGAGCCTTCCCTCTTTCACTCCGGTCAGCTGCAGTGACCTCACAGCATTACAGAGAGCTTTCAGAAATGGAAAGCAAATGCAGCTCTTGAAAATAATCCAGCTTAATCTGTGCTCAGCTTCCCTCCTCTTCCCTAAATGGTCTGAAATTCACCTCCATTTATACCAGGATGAGCTGCCTCCAAGTCTGTCCTTCAGGAAATATTTCATAAAGGTAGGGCTTTGTGCCCTCATCATGACCCTACTGTAGAGCAGGCAGGCCCTGTAAGCTGTCTTAATGTTAGAGATGAGGACACTGAGCATGCATCCTACCTACCCACAGAGGTTTAGGTGAGTGGTCGCCTCCCCTCCGCCATGCTGAAACACAGATTTCGGTGTGGAGAGGTGCACGCCCACTGTTTCCCTCCTAGACAAAAAGTACCAAGATAAGAAAACAGAAACTTTGTGTCCAAGTCAGCTATTTCTACATAGCTGATAGAAGGAGGGCTGTTGGTGGCAGATGTGAGGACAGGGAAGCCAGAAAGGAGGCTTTGATCCAGAGCTAATGGTGAGTCCACTGTGGGAAGAATCAGTAGATGACTGTGGGAGTCGTCCTCACTAGGAGCAGCCTTTGCTAGAAAGCACCTGTCGCCGCAACACAGCAAGAGTGGCCCCTCTTTTCTACAGGTCACGGGGATTAAAGCTATTCCATGAAGGGCAGAAATGGTTTTTTAAGAGCACTGTTTATTATCTATCTCTAGCTACCATGCTGAGAACAAGGCCAGCATTCTCCTCCAGACCTCTGGTGCTGACTCTAAGGCACCAGTGAACACAACTCCAGCCTTCTGGAAGGAATTGGTTAGACTGCCAGCTTCAGACCATACAGGGCTTGGATGATAGTGGGATAGTGGGATGATGGTTCTAAATTCCAGTCAATGACTTTAAAAGTAGTCAGTACAGGGGCCAGAGAGATGGCATTTGCCATGAAACATGAAGGTCAGAGTTGAGGTTCCCAAAAACCTATATAAATGCCAAGTAAGTGAGCACATGCACCCAGACACATGCAAACATATACATGAACATGAACACCACAAACACATGCACAAACATGAACACCACAAACACATGAACACACACACACACACACACACACACACACACACACACACAGTGGAGAAAGAAAACAAGTCAGTGCACATTGATAAATTCCTGACCATACCAGAACCTGCCCTATCTTTCACGCCGCCAGCTAGGTACGTAAGTGTCATGGGGTGTGTGGTAGCCTGTTTACACTTCAGCAGCACCCAGGTGTGAAAGCTGAAGAAAATGGCCAGGAAGAAGGGATGGCAGAGCTGAGTGGGACGGCCAGAAGTCAGAGCAGTGAACTGACCACTTCCTCAGTACCTCCAGATTCCTAACAGCACTGTGTATCCTTTCTCTTAAAAATAAACAGCTCAGTGGGTGTATTTTACAGATGGAATCCTCCAACAGAAAGTTGAAATTCAACATTTTTCTGTTTGTTTGTGTGTTTTAGTTCATTTCCCACACTGCACACGCATGATAAATGAAGTTTGGTCTTCCTTTTGTTTATTGGTTTTGTTTTGTTTTGTTTTTTTCCAGTACTGAGGGTAGGACTGAGGGCCTCATGGATGCTAGGCAAGCACCTGTGAGTTCTAGAGCATTTCAGTCACCCCTAAAAGAGTCTTCACATCACTCTTCATACTGTTTTATAGATTTAATTCTTACCTCCACCCCCAACAACCACTGATCTGCTTTGTGTCTCTACAGATCTGCATTTTGTTTGTTTCAAATTAGCGGAATCCTACCATATGCCATCTTGTGACTGGAGTGTTTCATAATATTGTTGAAGTTTATCAGTTATGAGAGGTATCAGTTGTTTGTTCCTTTTATGTTACTCAGTAGTATTTTACTGTATGATATACATTGTGTCCACCCATTTACCTTCAGGTATTTTCCTATTTGGGACTATTATGAACAATATAACAACACTGGTGTTCAAGTATATCTGTAGCCATGATTTTATTTTTTATTTATCTTGAGTATATGCCTAGAGGTAGAATTACTCCTTAGTTTTTTTTATTTGCCATGTGATTCTGTCAGCATGGCTACTCGGATCCCTGGCTCTGTCATCTGATTTTTCCTTTGGGAAGCCTAGAAGAGATGGTCAATCAGATAGCAAAAAAAGGTATTTCATGTGAGAATCCCTCCATGGTGGCAGAAAAAAACTTTCCTTAAGAACTATACAGGGCATGGTTGAATAGGAGACATCAATCGACAAAAGGAAGAAGAGATGAAATTCTTGGGTGTTGGTTTTCTCTTGTCCTTTAGTCTCATGCCAGTGTGTTCTTTTAAGCCAGTCTAGCCAGAAATCAGTTGACAGGTGCAACTCAGTAGGTAGGAGAAGGGTGGGGAATGAGAAAACTTGGAGGGTAGGAGAAGGATGGGAAATGAGGAGACTCAGGAGGGTAGGAGAAGGACAGGAATGAGGAGACTCAGGAGGGTAGGAGAAGGATGGGGAATGAGAAGACTCAGTAGGTAGGAGAAGGACGGGAATGAGAAGACTGAGGAGGGTAGGAGAAGGGCAGGAATGAGAAGACTCAGGAGGGTAGGAGAAGGGCAGGAATGAGAAGACTCAGGAGTGTAGGAGAAGGGCAGAGAAGACTCAGGAGGGTGGGAGAAGGGCAGAGAAGACTCAGGAGGGTGGGAGAAGGGCAGAGAAGACTCAGGAGGGTGGGAGAAGGGCAGAGAAGACTCAGGAGGGTGGGAGAAGGGCAGAGAAGACTCAGGAGGGTAGGAGAAGGGCAAGAATGAGAAGACTCAGGAGGGTAGGAGAAGGGCGGGAATGAGAAGACTCAGGAGGGTAGGAGAAGGGTAGGGAATGAGAAGACTCAGGAGGGTGGGAGAAGGGTAGGGAATGAGAAGACTCAGGAGGGTGGGAGAAGGGCAGGAATGAGAAGACTCAGGAGGGTAGGAGAAGGGTAGGGAATGAGAAGACTCAGGAGGGTAGGAGAAGGGCGAGGAAGACTCAGGAGGGTGAGAGAAGGATGGGGAATGAGGAGACTCAGGAGGGTAGGAGAAGGGCAGAAAAGACTCAGGAGGGTAGGAGAAGGGCAGAGAAGACTCAGAAGGGTAGGAGAAGGGTGGGGAATGAGGAGACTCAGGAGGGTAGGAAAGGGCGGGGGGAGGGGGGATGAGAAGACTCAGTAGGTAGGAGAAGGGCGGGAATGAGAAGACTCAGTAGGTAGAAGGATGGGGAATAAGAAGACTCAGGAGAGTAGGAGAAGGATGGAGAATGAGAAGACTCAGGAGGGTAGGAGAAGGGCAGGGATATCATAAAATGCTGATTGGCCAGTAGCCAGGCAGGAAGTATAGGTGGGACAAGCAGAGAAGAGAATTCTCGGAACAGGGAGGATGAGTCAGGAGACACCAGCCTGCTGTCCAGGGAGCAGCATGTAAAGGCAACAGGGAAAGCCATGGAAAATGTGGAGATTTATAGATTAACAGAAATGGGCTGAGTTTAAGTGTTAGAGCTAGTCAGTGGTAGGCCTGAGCTAATGGCTGAGCAGTTTAATTAATATAAGCTTCTGAGTGATTATTTTATAAGTGGTTGCAGGGTCCCTGGTGCTGGGCAGGACTGGAGAAAACTTCAGCTACAAATAGAAAACTCAGAAGGGTAGGAGAAGGGCAGGGAATGAGAAGAGGCAACTGTCAAGTCCAGCTTCTTATCAAGACTGAGGTTGTCAACACTCTGTCCACTGCATAGTCAAGCATGATTCTTAGCCTCTGGGTTCTCTAATAATCACCCAAAAAATTTAAATACTTGTATAGACACCTTCCCATCAAAACATCGTAACATCCTGGGTCAGGGCCAAGGGCACATATAGAGTAATTGGGGCTTTTAGGTACAGTCCCCAGAACAACTACTCTACAGAGAAGTTCACTAATCACCAAGGCTCCTCAGTCAAGAGCAAACTCAATTACAATTGTCAGCCAACCTACATTTATGTATCCCTTTCCCATTTATGATTTAGCGAAGCTCTGCAGAGCCTGAGGTAGTAGTTGGCAAAGGCTCCCAACACTTGCTCAAAGCCACACAGCACAGACTGTACCCAAACACTAGAGTCCTGTGCCCCCAAGACTAGTGTGGACATTTTTTCCAGTTGCAGTATAGCTGTAGGCTACTAAAAAGGTATCCACTCCCAAACCGAAGTGAGTTCCAAGTGCCAGCATCTGTGCCTCCTGTTCTAGGAAGTATGTTGTCTTTTGGCCTCCCATATGCTTTGGGCCACAATGTTCCTTCTCTTCAGTTCCAGTCATAAGGGGCTTTCTCTGACCTCAGTACACTTGAATGTGTCTCCTCTCCTGCTTCTCAATCATAGGGAAATCATACATGAGAGAAATTCGCTGTTGTGGGACTCTGTAGCCAGCTTCTTTAAGCTGTTTTCTGAAAGTCTTTTTTTCAATTTTGGGTCAACAGAGTTCTTATTTTTGCTACCTCTAGCTGCCTGGTTGCTGTCTCTCCTGGCCTTAACCCATGGCCACCATGGCCTTTGTAGAGACATGGGTTTTCTACTCCTCTTTGTGTGTGTGGCATTGGCAGAATACAGCTGTATGGGAGTGTGCATGCACACATGCACGGGTGAGTGGGAAGGCCAGAGGAAGACCTTGGGAATGGTTCCTCAGGTGCCATCTAATGTTGCTGTCGGGATAGCGTCTTTCACTGGCATGTTGCTGGGCTGACTGGCCAGTAAGCCCCATGGATCCACTTTCCTCACTTCCCCAGCACTGAAATTCTAGGCACTTCCCAGGCTTAAACAAGAGTATCAAACTAAGTCCTTGTGCTGACAAGGCAAGCACTCTATTTATCAACTGAGTCATCTCCCCAGCCTTACTTCTCTTAGGGGAATCTTTTACAAGAAGGTAATGGGTCTTGTATGCAAATAAAACCATACTGAGATTTTTTTGTATGTGTATGTGTTTTGTTTATGCAAGCTCAGCTGTGTGCAGGCATAGGAGTGTAAGCAGTTGTGAGTGCATGAATGTGGAGGCCAGAGGTTGATGTTGAGTAGCTTCCTTACTTGTTCTCTATATATTGGAGCAGGGTCTCTCCCTGAATCCAGAGCTTGCTCATATGGTTAATCTAGCTAGCCAACTTTTTCTGTGGATCCCTGTATCCCTTCCAAGGGCTGGATTACAGAAGGGGCAGCCAACCATACCTGCCCCTCATTTAAGTGGGCGCTGGGGATTTGAACCCTAGTCTTCACACTTGTGTGGCAAGTCCATTATCCCACCCCTCACAGCAGGTTTTCTGTCAGCTCTTTGGCAATGTCAGTATTTGTGATTAGGTGTTGAAAATGGAAGTTCTCCTAATTGAAGGATGGATTTTCCAAGGTAAAGTACAAATGAAAGCAATAAGAATCCCCAACTCTCTGAGCATCCTGCATAATCAAGATATTATTATAAATGTACAATAAGGTGGATATTGGCAGTCCCCAATATGTATCCTAAGGCAGAAACTTAGCATGAATTTCCAGCATTGGTGTGTGCCTGGGAAACATCTGAGAAATGTTTAAAGTGCTGCTCTCATCCAGGGACTCTGATTCAACCGTCCCCAGGCAGAGTCCAAGAACCAGCATTCTCCAGATGACTCTGGTGAGATTAGACCGGAACCGTTTCCTGAGAAACTCCTTCACAAGCTCAGACTCCTAAAGCTGAGCTGACTTGGAAACTTTTCTTAAAAAGCCTTCACACGGTTTTCACTTCAGAGCTATTTTGAGCCAGAATGTAAAGAGGAAAGAAGACAGGAGAATAGTGGTGAATTGACACAGCAGATTTAAAAGATCAGCTAACATCACAAACCAAAAGTCTAATTTGTTCTTAAAATACAGAGTCATTACCAACATTTGAAAATTACTCACTTGATTTTTATGTCTTGGGTCTCCGTAACTGTGAAGAGAGAAGGGAAAGCTCTGTGTGTGTGTGTGTGTGTGTGTGTGTGTGTGTGTGTGTGTGTGTGTGTGTATGTGTGTGTTTATGACATTAAGTACTGTAGTGAACTGCGATGTGCCCGTGTCTCGTCTTCACATGATAATGCTGGGTGTTTAATCACTTCCATGTTTACTTCCCTTTGTCTTTCCTCGTGATTATCCTCCTAAGCACACAGGTTTGGGGTCAGTAAAAACCCTGGTGGCTCCATTCAGTCCCCCTGAGTTTTCCTTTATTGCCTCTCTTCTCTGTTAGCAACTAGACAGATTAATGCTATCTACTGTTCCCATATCTCTCTACATCAGATAGCCAGACGAGGAGTCTAGCAAACACTAGTAGGCTTAAGAAGACAATGAGACAGAATGTTTCACATCAGTACTGCCTGGAAAAATGCAAAACACGTGTTTCTGTCTGAACTCCCGTGATTTTCTTCTCCTCAGTTATATCATTCAGCTGTCTAAGCGCCCTCCCGGCACAACAGCTGCTAGGTATAGCTTAATTAATTTAAATACAATGTGGAGGCTTGCCCCCAACTGCTGCCCTCAGACTTACAAATATGTTTCCAACACCAACTGCTTTGATGATGCAGACTTTGGAATTAGAGGAGCCTATAAACTCTTTTCTAAAGTAGATGAAAACATGATAGGATTTAAGTGACTTTTCTCCCTGCTTGGCTATGGCTCTTATATTCACCTGTTCATTCTACACCCATTTGTGAGGTGACAGGGATTGTATTAAGCCCTGGGTGAAAGTGAAGACAGCCTAACCCTGGTGTACCTCGAGGTCTGGGGGAAGAGAGACCGCCGGTTGTATAAATTATTTCTGCCACCCCGATTTTAAGTAGGACTAAGAACTATAGCAATTTGAACAAGAAGTTGTGG